AGATGAGATAGAAATTTCTACTCTTTCAAAACAACTTTGAACAGGCATCCTTTCTAAATCTACAACTGGGACTAATGAACTAGAAACATGGTCTTGTTGATCTAGTGAAGAAACTGGTGTAGGGAATTCTTTTCCTTCTTCATTTCCATCACTTGAGGCTGGAGTCTTCACATCAGTGGAAGCTGACGTCACCTTGGATGATTCCATATCTTCAGTAGGCTTAACAGTGAGCTCCAATGGATGGACCACAGTAGATACATCTTCATCAGGACAGCTGGTGAAGGTTATCTCACTCAGCTCAAGGTCAGTTTGGACTGAAATATTTTGTCGAAACTTTGGTCTCCCTGTGAAAGACAAAGACAATTTCCTTATTTGTCATTTGCAGACTAGGAAAGTCTTTTACTCAAATGTATATAGAAATATACTGATGGAGAATCATTGATATATTACATTTTTATCGTGTTTGATACAGATATATCAGGGTTCGAAATTAACACTCGCCATATGTAATAGAAACATGGTGTTCAACTTGCAAAAAGTACAGTTTAGACAAGTCATCTTCAGTAAGTAATCAGGGCTCTCACACCCCATTTTGGGACTGGGGCCCAGGGCCCTTTGAATTGGGGAAAATAGCGGCGTTTTCCTTAGAATTGGGAAAACTTGGGGTCTAAATTGGGAAAAAAGATACTATTTTGCATTGGGAATGGGGCCGAATATCAGCACCAAATCTGGCAGATCGAGAGCCCTGGTAATAATTTGTTCATGATATTTAAGAAAACACTATATACTAAGTTAAGTTCATCATTATTTTGTAAACTTGTATATTTTCTGTTAATGTTGGCTTACTTTTCTTTTTCATTTAATCATTGTTTCTTATTTTTATTGAAATGAGGAAAGAAAGTACTCTTTAAAAATTGTAAAATTATATTTATTAGTATTGAAATTGAAAGAAAAAAAATAAAGAGTTGTTTGAAGTGTAGGCAACAAAAAATAAGGTCAAGGTTATTATTCTACGTTTAATTACATTATTTCTGCAGTCAATTTGTACTGACGACTTTTAAAAACAAGAGGCCCATGGGCCTTAATGGTCATCTGACAAAAAGCAAGCCAAACTCTAACAGTGAGTTTGCCGTTAAAACAGTGGGCTTTATTCATTTGAATAAACTTGGTAGCCCTCCCAGCATCCTACAGGCCCAATATCAGCACTCTGAGCCTTTTGGTTGTTGAGAAGTTGTTTAAAAATTTTAATATATTTGACCCCTGTGACCTAGAAAGTGGGTTGAGGTCATTCATTTGAACAAACTTGGTAGCCCTTCCTCCAAGCATCCTACAGGCCCAATATCAGCACTCATGGACTTTTGCTTATTGAGAAGAAGTTGCTTGTATATTGTTGTGGGGATTATCAAAACATTTTGAAGGTAATCCACCTCACTGTGAGAGGGGTTTCTCCACCATGAAGAGAATCAAAGATGACAGGAGATGCAGACTCTCCACTGACACCATGGACAGACTCCTCAGGATCTTAATTGAAGGGCTAAGCATTGAGGATTTTGATCCCAAACCTGTGGTTAGGAGATGGTGGCTGGAAGGGCAGAGGACCAGACGTCCAAATACAGTATCATATGGTCCAAGGTAGTGACCAAAACTGACACAATGACATCAGTGTTCACATAGATCATGTCTAAATGCCCATGTAAATAAAACACAAAGGCACATTTATATCTAAGTGTTGTTTTTATTTAATAAATAAGTCAATGACATCGATTCAGAACACATTGCAAGACTTTTCCTATCAATTTTAAAATTGCCAGTTAATTTCTAATTTTGCAAGTTGAAATTTTACCCACTTGCAACTAATTGCGAGTGGCTCAAAAAGTTAAAATTCTACTGCTGTTATATGTATAGATATGTACTTCCATTAACTCAAGAATTCCAATAGTGCCATGTTAGTTTGCTGCAGGTAAAGGTGCCACATTGTGACTTTGCTTCGTTAGTCTGTCACCCCATGAATACTACTACATTGAACAGACTTAAAACTTGGATTAACACCGAAGCTGATTTACCTCTTTTCTTCTTAGCTTTATCCAGCGACTCTTTCTTTTGGTACTTCATCATGTCCTAAAATAAAATCATTGTGTAAATACATAGCTAGATCACGTCTTTGACAAGATCATTTATAACCAAAAATACAGCTAGACTAAGAAAGGATTCTGATGGTCACTCACCAAATGTATTGTGAGAGAGCAATATTTTCATCTTAATATCCCAGGACATTGGTCATTTACAATATCATCGAGATGGCAATGATGATAATGGCTGGTAACATTAAGTTTGATGGTTTGTCACCACTATCTCCATGTATTCAATGTTTGAGGGACATCCATACTGAATTGTTGCTATCTACATCTGATTTGTATGTTGGAAATAGCATGTCATTCGAATTTGGTAATACACTGATGTGATTTTGAAACTGTTTTACTGGGGTTTTTTTTTGGCGGGGGTGAGGGGGGGTGCGGTTGTGAATTCATAGCTATTATCTCTTGCGACATTTAATGATAATACAAGCATTAGATTAAGCGCCAATATGTTAGAAGAAGAAAAACCAAAGTAACTGCAAGTAAGGAGAAAAATACCGAAATATCAATGGAATCTTCATTCATACCCAAATTCGAGGAAACAAGACAAAATATTAATACATATACACACAGACTTCTGCATAAGTACAAGAACAATGCCAGTAGTTCCGGAAGATTGAGCGTCTTCTGCTTCGCCGACGGCATAAACCGTGTAAATCTTGATTTTTCCAATGTCGTGTTCCTGGAGAACAAGATTAACAATGGAACCCCCTGGTACTAATCAGCATCAAACACGTCAATATTCCAGCTTGAAAAGGAAAATGCGAGCTAAACTGTATCTGCCATTTCATAAAAAGGATATAGAATTGTTCTATTTTAAGCGGGACTGGTAACTTTTCACAATTTTTAATTGTTTTACAAATTTCACGTAAAATGAAGATACCTCATCTATATTCAAACTGGAATTTCGACATGGATGGATTTCAGGCAGGAAAATAAAATCTTTGTTTCGATTTCACGAGGTATACGCACCACAGTTTGATTGCTAATGTCATTTTTCGTAGCTTTAATTCTTACCTGTTGAGATCTAGACTACCTCTCTGAAGGTTTGCTGCATCCGCACCTTCGAAAGATATTTTCCTGTCACGTGAGTTCTAGACGGCGGGAATATGTAACATGGCAATAAGCAGCGAAAGGTCACCGGGCTGAAAAGGTCATCGCCTGATCATACATTACCAAAGAAATAAAAGTTGACAGTACCGTCTTTATAAAATATGATCAAGGCTCTATATATGTGTATGTGCATGCCACTATGAAAATGTTTAAAATTAAAAAAAAAAACAGCAAAAAAGCAAAAACCAACACACACACAATAAAAAAACAAAACAAAAAAATTGGAAATACGCAATGTGAATGTGTTCCTGTCCACTGAAATTTCAGTTTATCAAGAAGTTTCAGGAATAAGGTATATTTCAAAGAGTTAATCATATACTAGATTTTACTCGCCAGGCTTCTACTAATAAGAGTATAGATATATATTTTATGTGTAAGTATGAAATTCTACAAAGAAAAATACTGCAGCTAGTGTTGAACCACTGACTTCAATATAGATTTAACTCCGTGGATGAATATTCCTTCTTTACGTCAGCAAATTAAAGTGTCGCGCCGCATGATAAACTTTTTAAATGTATTCTGAGGTTAAATGCATCTGATTTTCAAATTTCGGAAAGTCTTGACAGCTGGTGTTATTCTCGTGGAGTTTCGTGGTTTCCGAATCCTTTTTTGGTTCACATTTCACTCTCTGTCGCAAATGTGAACAACATACATATGTATATATTTGAAATAAATTTTAGTATGTAGGGGATGTAAAATCAGTTTTATTTCATATGTTATTTTATGAAATGCGTCTACGAAGAAATAAATAAAAACTTTGAAACGAGTTTCCTAAAAAAAAAAAAAAAAAAAACCGCTGGAAAACAAGTTTTAAGATACTTTCATCACACAACCCAGAAAAGTTACTAGAACAAAAGTTTTGTCACACAACCATTGGATGATTCCTATCATATCACAAGTTATAAGAACTTTTATTCTATTGACATTATCACCATAAAGAACATGTTCCGTAATATCAGAGAAAAACACATTTTGACAGAAGAAATGTGGATGACATAATCAAATAGCGGCAGCTATGTTGATGTAACATTTTCAATTCATGTCGTACCGTCGATTGCCCATATTATAACATCACAGTCAATTTCTGCACAACCAACCAAACGGAAAACGTTCCTGGGTATACGCAACGTATTCATTCATTGAATGACAAGTCGGTTATGTCATGAATATGTAACAGATAGTTCTATAAATATCATGTATTATATATTTCATTCTTAAGAAACGTTAAGTCAGAAGGGATATATTTTGTTCATATTTCATTCGGTTAGAGGTATATGGGGCGAGCAGCACTCATTCGAATATATAAATTAAATTTGGCAATATAATAAAATATTTAGTGACGTCATTAGATAAATAATGATATCGCTTTGATTCTTTATAACGCGAATTCCAGTATTAAGGATATCACGGATCTAGACATACATGTACATGTATATCTACACCCTTGGTTCCCATTTCATTCGTTTAAATCAATTGCATTTATTAAATAATTTTTTGGCGATATCACAATGGGATGGCAATTTATTTCAAAATTATCGAAGTTGGGAATAATGTATCAAAACCTAACACAATTTTAATTTGAATCTCCGATATCGTTCCCTAAACTTTCCAGTCAAAAACTACCTGCAAAGGAGAAATTAAAGTGGAAACAATTCCAACATTCTTCCGAACCGTTTCCGGATATTAAAGTCCCTGTTGAATTGTTGGTTCAGAGTATTACTACATTCAAAATGGCAGCGCCTAGTGGGGAAGTGTCACGCTGGAGGACGGTTAAGGGTATTATATAAGAATATAAATTGGTAGCATCACATTAAAATCAATTAACTCGTCCACGATGAATTGCCAGGTCAGAAATGTTCTGAAAAACTGCTTTCGTCCCCCATATACTCGTTCATGGGACCCAAGGGTTTTCAGTTACTCCCAAACAGCTGGAACGAGATGTGGGCAGTGCAGTATGTTGGCTTCTCTGCCGTCCAATGTGAGAGGGATTCGCACAACAATTTCGCGGACACTGCAATCTAATTACCATATGCGAGTGAAGACGACTCGAACCCTTACCCAACAACCCACTCGCACGTTACGTACTGTCGGTGTTGCCAGAGGCACTAATTGCTGTAGGGGCCCCTTTAATATACGATATATGCAGTGTAGAGACTTACTAAGTAGACACAAATTCCAGACTAATTATTTCAGGGTTTATTGTTCAAAAGTTGGAAATGTGAAAAATTCTGTTAAGACGAGAATTCCACCGACATCAGAAATATGGAGACTGTTATCTCTCGCCAAACCGGAAAAATGGAGACTAGCAGGTTTGTTATTAGACTAAGTTAAGTATCTTCAAAATTCTTATACATGTATATAGTAGTATGTATGCATCTTCTCAGATTTTTTCATTCAGCAAATATATTGTAACAAAACAAAAGGCTCATTGCACATCATTGGATTCTATGCTTAAAACCTGACCAATTGTTAAGCTGATATCATTGAAGATGAAAGAAAAACATTAGACTGACCACAATTATATGTCAGAACCTTGTTTATGCTATACATGGTTACATATCAGCCATAATATATTTCTTGGCCATAGAAAATTGAAAGTGTTGATTTCACTTAATAACTTGCATCCTTGCATAACCATTTTATATGATATGAATATATACATGTATGTTGAAGTTAAAAACAACTAGGGGTATGTGTACAAAATTTTCCTGAGAGAGAGTTAGCCAATTTATGTTTAGTTCTCAAATTAAGCAATGTAAATTAGAACTATGTACTGCTAAATTGTTATAATAGAAATCTTTAGAAATTCTTATGTAAAACATATTTCATAAAATTTTATCATCTCCATATTGCAATGTATTTACCTGTTGAATTACTTGAATATTGAAGTTTGAATCACCAAATTGCTTCAAGCATAAATCTCAAGCTTTTAAATGTAAAAATGTTGTTTGCTGTTGTAGCTGCCTTGGCATTACTAATGGTTTCCAGTGCAGTAACAATGTCCGTGCCATTTTGTATCGGCAAGGTGATAGATATTATCTACACAGAATTGGTAGATCAGGGCGACAAGATGAAGGAGAGACTACAACAAATATGTAGCATTCTTGTTGTCATCTTTATAGTTGGGGGCCTTGCCAACTTTGGTCGAGTCTACTTAATGAATCTAACAGGTACGTAAATATGACTTTGGCAGTTATTGGTGTATCAAGGTGATGTCTATTTGGCATAAATCCATCCCAGATTATGTCTTAACTGATCCTAGTGCCTTACAATATAATTTTTATAATTAATATCAGGCATAAATGTAAGTGTATTTCATTAATACTGACTGTAATTTTTTCTTTGAAGGCAACAACATTGTGCGGCGTTTACGTTCGCAATTGTTTTCATCCATCATGAGGCAAGAAATTGGATTCTTTGACAAAAATAAAACGGGTGAACTTATCAACAGACTGTCGACAGATTCAACTGTGGTGGGCAGCTCCGTGACAACAAACATTTCTGATGGCCTGCGGGCAGTGGCTCAAGCAATTGGAGGAGTCAGCATGATGGTAAGAATTGGTCAAGGTTAGCTACGGTTAAAGGTCAAATCAATGTCAGTAGCATGATGAAAATTGATTTTTAACTCTGATATATTTGTATATTTCATAAGGCTTCATGGTCTGTGAACATGTTAGTCATTGGTCCTGTAGTATATAAACAGAAGGTGACAGCTTCTTTTATGCATGAGAAGTTTGGTCCCTGAGCTGAGAAAACTATCCTTATACACAATATCTTTGACCTTTGTTTTTATAATTATCACTTACTTTAAATTAATTTAATATTATTATCTTTCTTTTCATTAAACTTTCCTTTAATTCTAATAATAAACAATATTGAATAGTCGCTTTTATTAAGCATTATCAACTTGAACAACATATTACATCTCAAATGACCATGTAACATACATTTGTATTTTTAAGTGATGTTAACAAATTATAGTCCGCCTCCTTCTCATCAAGAATTCTATGTCATCCCTGTCAATAATATTGTGTTAATCTTACTAGTTTTATTGGGTGCCTATAGAAATTAATTTGTATCTGTTTCAGTGCTATGTATCGCCCAAACTGGCAGGTATTGCCTTGTGTATTGTACCACCGATTGTGATGATGTCTCGTTTCTATGGTCAATATATGCGAAACATAACCAAGAAGGTGCAGGACTCACTGGCCTCGGCAACACAGGTAAATTGTATACATTCAGATCAGCATGTTTCTATTTAAACTTGACAATATTCTAAAGATGATGTATCCAGGAAACGTAACGATGAAATATGTTTGTAAAGGGAATATTTCTTTAATTCAGTTTATATTAAATTTTATATTAATAGAATTACAAACATTAATTCTCTTAATCTATTTTGGATTTGTAACAAACTCATTGTCTTTCTTCTGTGGCTTACTAAAATTTTTAAGCAGGTGACTTTATTTTTTCATCATTCCCTGTAGGATTAGGATTCTTCTTCGGCAGTCTGTGTACTATTTAATGGTAAACACACAAAAAATGCTGAAAATGGATTTATCTGCAGGCCAGTAAGCTTTGTTTCTGAAGGCATCAAAAAGTAGTATCAACAACTATAACTATATGGTTTCTTATTTAGCCTCTTCCCATGTCAAGGTTGAAACATGGGTCAAAAGATATCTAATATTTCAGATATTTTAAAGAAACTCACATTTATGTTTTTCCTGCAATAAACTGCAGTGGAAGAGACTGATTTACAATTAGGGAGTTTGGCTTATTACAGGATATAAATAAGCGTTTGTTGATAATTTTACCATGAACAAAAATAGATGTGGATGGGCTTATTATCAATCACAGGGTTATTGCTGGAGAAGTACAATACACTGAGAAAATCTCATGTACAGGTAATCAGAGATTATTCAAATTAAAAGCTGTTTCCAAAAAATTCCCAATTTTGGTCATACATTTTGTTACATGTATTAGGATATTTCACTATATCAGTTGAAATGCCATTTTTCAGGTTGCTGAAGAGAGGATAAGCAATATTAGGACAGTTCGATCATTTGCTCAGGAAAAACGAGAAGTGAATGCTTATGATGAGAAGATCGACCACATTCTAATGCTGTCATACAAAGAAGCTCTGGCTCGAGGCATTTTCTGGGGATCGGTCAGTAGCTTGGCAATTGATTTATGGAATGTTAAACTTGATTGTAATAGAAAATGCTCATATGGCATGGTTGGCCTGTAGTTTGAAAAAGAAATGAGAATTAAAAGGAGAATTAAGGGGAGAAAAAGCTGCAAAATAGTTGATAAATTTGCATTTTATATCAAAGTCCTATTTTGAAAATTGTAGTTACACTTGCATCAGCTTTGACTAATCAGGATTTGAACAAATGCTAGTTGTTTGCATTTTTGTAAATTTTAAAGTTGGCCGTAAAAATATTCATTCTGAGGTAAGGCTTCAACTTTGTTTTCAGATTTCAGCTTTAATTAATCTTATATACATTATATTACAGACAGGTTTCTCTGGGAATATGATTGTGTTGGCTGTGTTCTATTACGGGGGACTGATGATGACCGAGTCACAGATCTCTGTGGGTGATCTATCCGCCTTCCTGCTGTATGCTGCTTATGTGGGTGTTTCTATAGGAGGTAGGTGGATTCCAGGGTTTTGTATGGGTGTTTCTATAGGAGGTAGGTGGATTCCAGGGTTTTGTATGGGTGTTTCTATAGGAGGTAGGTGGATTCCAGGGCTTTGTATGGGTGTTTCTATAGGAGGTAGGTGGATTCCAGGGTTTTGTATGGGTGTTTCTATAGGAGGTAGGTGGATTCCAGGGTTTTGTATGGGTGTTTCTATAGAAGGTAGGTGGATTCCAGGGTTTTGTATGGGTGTTTCTATAGGAGGTAGGTGGATTCCAGGGTTTTGTATGGGTGTTTCCATAGAAGGCAGGTGAAGATTCAGGGCTTTGTATGGGTGTTTCTATAGAAGGTAGGTGGATTCCAGGGTTTTGTATGGGTGTTTCTATAGGAGGTAGGTGGATTCCAGGGCTTTGTATGGGTGTTTCTATAGGAGGTAGGTGGATTCCAGGGTTTTGTATGGGTGTTTCTATAGGAGATAAGTGGATTCCAGGGTTTTGTATGGGTGTTTCTATAGGAGGTAGGTGGATTCCAGGGTTTTGTATGGGTGTTTCTATAGGAGATAAGTGGATTCCAGGGTTTTGTATGGGTGTTTCTATAGGAGGTAGGTGGATTCCAGGGTTTTGTATGGGTGTTTCTATAGGAGATAGGTGGATTCCAGGGTTTTGTATGGGTGTTTCTATAGGAGATAGGTGGATTCCAGGGTTTAGTATGGGTGTTTCTATAGGAGATAGGTGGATTCCAGGGTTTTGTATGGATGTTTCTATAGGAGGTAGGTGGATTCCAGGGTTTTGTATGGGTGTTTCTATAGGAGATAGGTGGATTCCAGGGTTTTGTATGGGTGTTTCTATAGGAGATATGTGGATTCCAGGGTTTTGTATGGGTGTTTCTATAGAAAAAATAGATTTTGTAAAATAAAAACTCCTGATATTTGATCGGATGTTAACTGGAAATGAGCTTTCTATGTTAATGCAGTCGTACTTGCCTTGATTGGTAAATTATTAATTACTTTCTTTGGACACCTTATACTCATTAAGTAAATGTTATAATTGTATTCAAAGCTACCACTTGTGGCTAATTGACTCTCTATAGTTTGGTATCATATTTGTATCTGGTAGTATATTTATGTATTGTAAGAATCTTTCTAATTTGAAGATTTCCTTCTGTTTTTATTTGGTAGGAATGACAACCTTTTACTCCGAGATGATGCGAGGCCTTGGGGCTAGTTCTCGTCTGTGGTTCCTCATTGACAGAGTACCAACCATTCCTGTGTCGGGTAGGTCTGTTACACTAAAACTTGTGCTCTCTGGAAACAAAAGATAAATTTGTGTTCTGACTGACTTTACTTATTTAGCATCCATCACTGACACTGACATCTGTGGTTCCTTCATGACTGGAGATAACTGGGATGTTGGTTCTCTCCTTCTCCATTAGGAGTCATTTTTATTTACTGACACAATAAGTATGATCCTTCATATTCCAATGTCTATGATAATCTCTATATAGAGACATGACATTACTAGTCATTGAATAGCACATCAAAGAGGAGCCATTGTGACTGAGTGGTTGAGGTGTCTGACTGTATTTATCATTAGTCCTCCACCTCTCGGTGGCAGTTTGGGGGGTCTACATGGGGCAGTTGCCAGGTACTGACCACAGGTCCATGAATTTTCTCTTGGAGGTTTTCTTCCACCTCCTTAAATGACCCCGACTGTAAATAGGGTGTAAAGCAACTATAAACCAAATTAAAGTAATAAGACCATTTATCATATAAACCTTTATGAAATGATAAAGAATATGAAAAGGCAAAGTGAAATGAAAGCTGTAATATTGGGTTGTGATATTTACATGTACTAACAAAATTTTAATGAGATACTTAATTTTCTGAGCTATCAAATATTTAGTCTCGATGTAGAGAAGGTAATGATAACCTTTATTTTTACAGGTGGAGTTATACCTACCTCCGAAGTTGTGGGAAAACTGAGCTTCAACAACATCAATTTCAGTTATCCAGCACGGTCAGATGTGACAATATTCTCTGACTTGAATCTGACGGTACCTGCTGGATCAGTTACAGCGGTTGTAGGGGCCAGTGGGTCTGGCAAGTCAACCCTCGGCACTCTCCTACTCAGGTTCTATGATCCTGCACATGGTAAGGAATTGTAGGATAGGGAACGAGGTATTGTAAATTATGTTGGAATTCTGCCATACTTCTGTAATACCTGGTGTTCCTCAGGAAACCATTACATATCTTATTTGTAAAGAATCTAGAAACCTTTTGGTATGTAAAGACATAAGAATATTTGCCATAGACAAGCTTTAAATTTTAGCCAGATTATTCTCCACAGATGTTTATGGAATATTTATGGAATGACACTTTTTAACAAGTATAAACCTGATATGTGGGCTCTCATCGTTTACATACCTTGGCCCTACCTTCTTGTTTAACTGTAGTGATGTTTTCCATTTCTGCAACTGATTACAGGAAGCGTTGTGTTGGATCAGGAAGACATTCGTGACCTTGACCCTTTATGGCTGAGGACACAAATAGGCAGTGTGAGCCAGGAACCTATTCTTTTCTCCTGCACTGTCGCAGAAAATATTGCCTACGGAGCTCCAGACCCGACAAAGGTCACCCAAGAGGCAATTGAGGAGGCAGCTAGGAAAGCTAATGCATATAACTTCATACAGACATTTCCAGAGGGGTTCAATACCATGGTTGGGGAGAGGGGTCTCATGTTGTCAGGTAAACATAGGTCATTTCAAGGTTTTATGCTTATGAAGCACAACTGAACAAAATAATTAAAACAAATAGTAAATTTTCATCCTGATTCATCAATGAAAACTTCCATATTGAGTCACTATACAAAGTTCAGTCATTCACACAGATACAGTTAAGTAATATTCCAGATTGTGTTTACTGAAATTGCCAGTGTTGATATAAGATACATAATATGCAGTATCCTCCCTAACTCAATGTTTCACAGTATACAGATTCAGTAATACAACTCCTGGCTTCAGTTGCTAAAGCTTATGCAAAACATGAATGTAATTATATTCAGAAATTGAACACAAACTCCTGGCTGATGATATGCAACTTTAACGAAAGGACAAAAACAAAAAGTAAGGTACATGTGTACCAGAGGTGATTAAAGAAAATATCCATGCTCTGGTATTTTTCTCTTTTTTTTTTTTATATGGATATTTCTAAAACATAATTGCATTAATAGTGTTACTGATGTCATACCTTGCAAAGTTGACAGTTTACAGCTGTATCTGGGTAATGTTGTTTCAAACTACATTGGTTCAGAGATCACTTTAAATAATCATTCAGTGAAGTTTTGTTACATGTATGTAACAGAGGTCATTTTTCATCTCAATGCCTCCGCTAGGAATCGAACCCGGGACTCCTGGCTTACTAGTCTCAACCAATCAAGCTAAAGAGAAGTTCTCTCTAGCCAAGTGGTATATTGCGGCTAGTATTTTACCAGGGTTACACGTATAGATAAGTAAATGTTGGCATTGTAATTTTGCAGTAGGCATAAGCATTATATACATTACAAAAAACATTGAACTAATTAAAACTTGGATAGAAAATGTTCTCAAGACTTGCCTGAAAAGATGCTTAGAAAAGATTTCCTAGTTTCTGATTGTATACTGGTAAACCTGTTTGTTTCAGGTGGACAGAGACAGCGTGTGGCAATAGCTAGAGCAATCCTTAAGGTAAAACACCCTCTCACATGTACATTATACTGTCAACCTACATTTTTTAGTGATTGTCATCTTTTAGCACTTTTGCACTGAACATATCTTGCTTTTAGCACTGAACATATCATGCTTTTAGCACTGAAAGTATAGTGCTAAAATGTTACTGTGCTAATTTCAGTTTCAGTATAATTAAAGATATATATATATATATATATCTACTGTACATATGGGAAGGAGGTAAACACTGGTAATCCTGAGATTAACGATAAATTTTACTCACATTCTGAAATTAATGGACATAAGACCGAACACAGATGGGACTAAACCTATTGATGGGCAGAGTCATTTAAACAGATGGAAACTTTGATGGTCAGATCCATCATAATAGCAAGAAAAAGCTTTTATAAATAAATATATTACGTAATTAATGAGCATAAAAGTGAATGGAGTCCAGCTGTGCTTAACAATGCCAGCCAGTTGTAGAAGATAGTGTTAATCAGAATATTGGACAGAAAATTACCACCATTATGAATTAAAACAAAAAATGTTTCTATAAAATAATGAAGTTTGTGTTCTAATTTTACAGAATCCCAAGATTCTCCTTCTAGATGAAGCCACCAGGTATGCTTTGCATCATTTTCCTTATTCCATACAATTTCACATTGAATTCATTCTTTTTCTTTCATTTCCTATTTTTAATTTTTTTACATCTTTGGTTATTGCCATGCACTTAAACTAAATCCACATTTGAAATGATAAAAAAAAGTAGTATGTTCCTAGGTATCATGGAAAAATTAAATGATAAATAAACACATCTGTTTCCATGTATTGCAGTGCCCTGGATGCAGAGAGTGAGTATCTGGTACAAGAAGCCTTAGAGCGGGTCATGGTTGGACGAACTGTTATCACCATAGCACATCGTCTTTCAACCATCATGAAAGCAGATCAGATCGCTGTTTTGGACAATGGAGGAATAGCAGAAGTGGGCAGCTACCAACAGCTCATGGGTCTCAACAATGGAATGTTCAGGAAACTGGTGGAGCGTCAGACCATAACTTCTTGACGGAGGAGTGTAAAGTTGTAATAATGCCATCGGAAGCTGATGGAGTTGCCTTACGATAACAAACTGACAGAAATTTAGTGATATTGCTAATATTTGTAACCAGACATTATCAACTGCTCAGCCTTAAAGGAATTTTCTTAATTTACAAAACAAGAAATATTCACTGGCTCTGCCAGAGAATTCTTTCAGGTACTAGTAGGCACTGTATTGCAGAATTTGTAATTAGAGTCTTGAAATCAATGCTCCGCACAAGCGTATGACTATCTTTCCTCCTTAGTATGATTCCTCTTTAGTAAAACAGACTTAAGGAAATGTGTTACTAGATATACTATCATACCTCAAAATTCCTGTTGCCTAAGTTTATATTTCAAATCTGCTTTCATGTTATCAACACCTTCATTCTTGTGTAATATCAGTTAATTAGAAGCTTGATAACATTATTAACTGATGTTGTTTTTGTGTTTGTGGAACTCTTCTGATTGGAGGTGTACATTACATTCAGGTAGTATATAGTCTTAACTCCTACATGCTTTTGGAGGGAAAATTGATCAGCATATACACATTAGGTTAGTTATCTCAGTACATGATACTGTGGAAATAGTTTCACATTAGGATTGGTGGTGGGTAGATAATTTGTGGTCGCAATATTTAAGCTGATTTCATGTTACTTAGTTGAAATGGTCCAGACAGCATGGAATTATTCCTGAAAAAAGGAATGCACCAGTACTGTATGTGGGTGTATGTTTTCCATCTGAACCACTACTGAACATCACATAGCAGAAAATTATGTGTGCACTGATTCTGTTTATTCTGAGAACAAGTGATATTCAGTCAGTTAGTTTCAGACAGGGATGACTTATGCCCTCAAACTCAAATTTTGTCAAATATTTTGTTGCTAGCTTGGTTCCAATCACTACCTGGTGTTCTTCTCCAAGATTCAGCATGTCCAACAGCTTATGACAAAACGGCCTTAGTTTATGCACTTGATTAAAAGAATGCAATACCCTTCACATGTACAGTAGGTACTTGGACTAAACAGACTTTTAACGAGGTGAAACTTCAGCATTTTACTCAAGAACCATTTTGCATTGTTCATACGCTGCATATCACTTATTTTCATAATTCTAATTAATTTTATCACTTTGCCTATGTTATTTGGCATTTGATTTAGCACCTTAAATATTTGTCAGAGTTAGTCTTGCCAGAGGATTAAGATTTTGTTATGATGAAAAAGGACAATTATAGGGTTTAGATATAGGTATAAAGCTATTGTTTAAGATGTAGATGTGTTTTTTTGTTAGACCCCTTGGATACTGATGTATGGAGATATATGTGATGCTGTGATAAAATATCTCTGTAGGTAAAAATAATTTAAATAATCTATCCATAATATATATACTATTTTTTTCAAAACTGTGTTCTGTTGTGTGTTTAACGTATTTGTTAATATAAAATTGATGTATTTACATAATGAGACTGGTGTTGGTGTTACATGGAGATTTTGATAGAAAGATACGTAAAGATGATATTCCCAATACTAAAACAAAGGCATTAAACAACAGTATTGGTAAAACTGGTAAAGGACTTTTTGGATATAAAATTTTAACAAAGGGCAATAATTCTGTGATTAAGTGGTCTTGGGCACAGAATGTATCACAAGGTACATCTTCTTAGCCTGACCAATGTTTCATTATCTTATTTGAAAGGAAGGCAATGTTGTGCTATCAACATGAAATTTTAACAAAGAGGACTATCTGTAATTAAGGGGTCGCATTACACTGAATGACATAAATATAGACCCACGTTTCTTTATCTTAGTCTCATTGCAGACCCGTATATGCTCTGGAGAAAAAATTTGAACCAAGAGCAATAACCCTGTAATTAAGGGCTTGCAGGCCTGAACATTGGCTTTGTATGATCAATGTATATGCTAAGTTTCAGTATCTTAGCTTAAATGAAAACAAAGTTATGCTCCAGACAAGAAATTTTAATGATGGATAATAACGCCGTAATTAAGGAGTTGTGGGCCCTGAATTTAGTACACGACACATTGTCTTAGTGTTGTCATTGTATACACAACATTTCAATAACCTACTTAAAATACAAGCAAAATTATGCTCCGCACAAGAAATTTTGCCAAAGAGCATTAACTCAGTAATAGAGGGCCAAGGGCCCTTAATATGACCAATGTACACACAAAGTTTCATGGTCCTTGTCGAACTGTTGGCAAAGTTATGCTCCGGACACTGAAGGACGGATGGAAAAAAGCAGCGACTGTGTGCTCCCGCAAAAACATATTTTTCAACTCTCAAAATTTAAAAACTTCTGAAATTCCTAAGTCAACAGTAAATTAAAGCACTACTACATTTAGTGCTTGATAAAACTGCTATCCTAGGATTGAATCAATAAACTAGCATTATCTTTCTACCATATGCTTTGCTAATGGTTCACTCAGGAATTTCAGGAGAAATATTTCTTTATCGCAAACATTGAGCAGGCATTCTAGTAGTCACCCTATCATTTTGATATGGTGTTATATACATATTTTCATGCCCTATATCAAACAAGTTACTTGGCCATGATTTTAATGTCTTTGTACCATTGGTTACCCCTGATAAATGGCACCAGCACGTTAAACAGATTCATTGACAAGGGTAAAAAAAAAAAAAAAAAACAACATAAAAGATATTGTATGAGATTTGTGTTTTATTTCACTATTTGATATATATTGTCAATAAATGTATGCCAGCATTGTTTTACAATAACACAGACACAAGCACCAGCCAATACCACAACACTTCATTTTCCTGACATTTATTTTTTTTATTTTTTAAATCGGGAAATATCTGTGAATATGGTTTCATTTCAAATGCACATGAAACAAGAGGAAAATGAAAGAAAAAAGGGTTAAATAAACAGCAGTGAAAATGAAGGTGCTGGAAGGGTTTTGGCTGAAGAAACAAGTGACAACACACACATCCACTCCATCATAACAATCACCAATACAAACAGTTAAAAGCCAGTCTCTGGGACACACCATCCCAGCTACTGGTCACCCTAGATACACATCACCATGATAAATGTATTCTGAAATTAATTAAATGTGAACTTGTCGATACACAACCAGATAGTTATGACTTCATATCAAACAGTCCAGATCTGGTTAGAAGCTAGTATTGCCTTGACATTCTGATTTTAAACACTGAACACTGCAATGACATTTAATGTCTTCAAAAGGACAAATTTTGCTGTTGAGAACATAATCGTCAACAAGCATTTTACTACGACAACAAAGACTTGTATACGATCAGTACATGTATTTTTGAGGATTTTTCCCAACCTGTACCGATCAGCTTACACTAAAGTTATAACATAAACTGCATTGTCCAACATTTCATGTCTGAATAAAACATAACATATGATCAATTCTACAGTAGCAAAACTACATACTGAGAGAAAGCTTATGTTTTTCACATGCAAAAAACCATAACTGAAATATAGGTAAAACTAACCTCTTCATACAATCTTGATGAACAGTGACAATTATATTGAAAATGAAGTCATGAAAAACAGTATTTAAAATCAAAATATCTAGAAAATCACATAACTTTGTTTAAACTTTTTTGGGAAAATACATAGTAGGATTAAAAACCAGAACAAGTGTCTGTATAAAACACAGGTGACATCGATAACACACCTGTGAGATGATTGACCTACATACCTCCTGATTATTAAACACGACTGACGATTGAGTAATAAAACATCTGATTTTTTTTTTTACTTCAGAAAATTCATACATATTGATATGTTGAATTCCTATATGCAGGACTGAAGTTCCAACTTCCTAGAAGGAAAGAAAAATTACCTGCAATTGAACTGCATGATATAGAAGTGACATACTACTAGGAATAACTACTGAACAGCTGGGCCAAAGAGTATCACACCACTGAACAGCTGGGCCAAGAAAATCACACCACTGAACAGCTGGGCCAAGAAAATAACACCACTGAACAGCTAGGCCGAGGAGTATCACATTACTGAACAGCTGGGCCAAGAAAATAACACCACTGAACAGCTAGGCCGAGGAGTATCACATTACTGAACAGCTGGGCCAAGAAAATAACACCACTGAACAGCTGGGCCAAGAAAATAACACCACTGAACAGCTGGGCCAAGAAATCACACCACTGAACAGCTGGGCCGAGGAGTATCACACCACTGAACAGCTGGCCAAGAAAATAACACCACTGAACAGCTGGGCCAAGAAAATAACACCACTGAACACCTAGGCCAACGAGTATCACATTACTGAACAGCTGTGCCAAGGAATAAGTTACTACTGAACAGCTGGGCCAAGGAATAAGTTACTACTGAACAGCTGGGCCAAGGAATAAGTTACTACTGAACAGCTGCACCAAGAGTACAACATTACTGAATAGACTGGCCAACAAGGATCACACCACCAAACAGCTTAGCCAAGAAAAGTACCCCACTAACCAGCTGGGACAATGAGTATCATACTACTGTACAGCTGGGCCGAGGATTAACTTTCTATTCAATAGCTGGGCCTTGTAATAACTTACTACTGAATAGCTGGGATGAGGAGTAGCACATTATACTGAACAGCTTGGTAAAAGTGTACCAGCCGGGTAGAGAAGTATCACACAACTTAACAGCTGGGAGGAGAAGTATCACACAACTTAACAGCTGGGAGGAGAAGTATCACACAACTTAACAGCTGGGAGGAGAAGTATCACACAACTTAACAGCTGGGTGGAGAAGTATCACACAACTTAACAGCTGGGTAGAGAAGTATTATACAACTTAACAGCTGGGTAGCAAAGTATCATACAACTTAACAGCTGGGTGGAGAAGTATAACACAACATAACAGCTGGGTGGAGAAGTATCACACAACTGAACAGCTGGGTAGAGAAGTATTATACAACTTAACAGCTGGGTAGCGAAGTATCATACAACTTAACAGCTGGGTGGAGAAGTATCACACAACATAACAGCTGGGTGGAGAAGTATCACACAACTGAACAGCTGGGTAGAGAAGTATCATACAACTTAACAGCTGGGTAGAGAAGTATCATACAACTTAACAGCTGGGTAGAAAAGTATCATACAACCGAACAGCTGAGCCAAGGAGTATCACACAACTGAACAGCTGGGTGAAGAATCATACCACCAAGCTGGGCCAAGGAGTATCGTATGACTGAATAGGTAATCTGAGGAAGAAGACATAGGACTGAACAACCCAACAGATTCTTTTAACATTAGTTGACACGTAACATTCATACAAGGGAGACAATCCCAAATAGTATCAACATATTACTTCAGATGCACTAATTAATTCTTGTACACAAGTACATATTTACAATTATTACTAATATAGTTATTATTTTCAAAACAAAAGACCATACTTGTGTAAGTTTTTAACTTTTCTGTTTCTAATAATGGTTTATAAATCAAAGAAGTCTGCATGCCTTTCAACAATGAAACATGCAAAAAACTGATTATTGTTGAGATTTGTTGAGCATGCACACAATATTTATAATATAACACAGTGCCAACTGTACCTCATTTTGTTACATAAACACCTAACATCTTGTACATTTACTTACTACCTACCTTGTAAAAGGAAAAAGATGGAATCAGCAGAAAAAGTCTTACACATACACGTGCTTATTACAAAGCAACATGTTCACCAGTAACTGATATACCAGTATGTGGTGTGTAGGACATACAGAACTAGGAAATTCATAAATAGAAAAATAGTAATATTTAAAGTTTCACATCTATATGTACATTTATTTGGAAAGGTAAGCGTACATAATACTAAGGTATTTATAAAACTCATAAAGTAAAAATGTAAATGTGATGAGATATTTAGTGAACATTTTGTCTAACTAATCGGTGTGTGATGTAAAACAAATTACTGTAAATGGTATCTGGTCAGATTCTGTTAATGTTAACTAAGCTACGATGAAGTCCCAAACAAGTCTGATATCATAAATACTAGCTGTGTATTATCATTAAACATTCGAAGTAAAAAGGAGTCTGTATCATTTGTGTACATTATAAACATCCCAAACCTGTTTATTGTAGTTTTGGACTGTCAGTGTAATACAAGACATGTTTGATTCCATGTTTAATACATCATTATAATTTCAAACAAGCTTTATAAATATTATTATCTATACCAAACTAGCTAATTCTGATAATGTTATCATTAACAAATGACTGAAAGAATTTCTATCCTGTAACAAACTGCTCACCCACAAACAGAACTCTTTTGTCATCACATGTATACACATTCTGACCCACCTTTACACCAACAGGAGAAGCAAATAAAAACCTACTGGCATACAATACATATACATAACAATATATGGCTCAACTTTTATCCGTACCTTACCCACATACCAGTACAAATTAATAATGTAAAATTTTGTACCACCTTTGCTGTAATACCTAGTGTATATATGTCTATCTCAAGTTTCTTGTCTTTTTGTAGGATTTTGTTAAGGGAATCCAGAACACCATTTCCAAAATTTTGATGAGTCCCATTAATAGGAGGTATAGAGGGTCTTTGGACTTTGAAGTAGTTCCAGATGAAAATTATGAGTCCCGAACTCAAATATCTGAGCTTGAAAAAATCACTGTACCATCATACATCTAATGTGAAGGTGTCTTAAATTTTACTGTATTCTGATCTTAAATACTGTATACAGTCTTTCACATGGCATTTTTTTTGGGGGGGGGGGGGGGGGCAAAGAATGTTGATTTCAAAACAGTGAAAAGGTATTTTTTGTATTTACAATACAATATATACTCAACCATTCTGAAACAAAAAACTTAACACTTTCAGAAATTGTGAAAATAACAAATGAAATAATAAAACTGTATACAGTACCCATTTTACTTTTCTGATCTACTCAAATAAGTGGACATATTTATATGTATCAATCCTACAGTTGGAAGTGAACGTCCCCATACTGCCAGTGGTACGGCCATTAGCTACATGTATTTGTAGTTCCTCGTTTAACCCTCTCTCTGTCTTAAAGCTGTCACTGTGCACACCGACTGAGAATCCATACAATACGAACACTTGGGTGTGTACAATAACAATCAAAGCACACATAACGTGTATATTGTTTTCAACTTTTGATAAACGTATGGCTTATAATGACTACTTAATCAGAATCATCAAGATTGTAGGCAGGTAGTTTAAGGGTACAGTAGCCCACTCCTGTTAGACTTCTGGGTAATGCCCCAACAGTTTCCCAGATACCCGTGTACAGGTCAAATCGTGAAACAAGTTTCTGTCCGGTTTTTGTCTGTACATTGTAACCCCCGAGTACATATATCTGATCATTGTAAACCACACATGAAGCCTCTTTGTGGGAGATGGACAAGGGGGCGATTATAGTCCACTGGTCTGTGGATGGGTCATAACATTCAGACTGCATCACTGGTTGTGCCTGCTGGTTCACATTGAGGTTACAGCCACCAAACACATACAGTTTGTATTGAGTTGCACACATGACGTGCCAGCCACGTGGTGTCAACATAGAAGCCATGTCTTCCCACTGATTGGTGGAGGGGTCATATCGCTGCATGTCAGGAGTGAAATGATTACCACTGTAGCCCCCAGATATGTAAATGTGGGTCCCATAAACAGCACCAGCATGGGCATGATACGACATGGGCATAGGTGCGATCATCTCCCACGTATTATCTCCAGGGTTGTAACATTCTGCAGTCGCCAAACTACCATCCTTGAACTTTCCCCCTACAGCATATATCCTGTTATGTAGTGCTCCCGCAAAGAAATAGGCTCTCTTGTTCATCATTGGACATACTTGAAACCAATTATCAAAACGAGGGTCATACCGTAGAACAGAATTGACTGCTGACTCTCCATGGGCACACTGTGTAGTACAGCCCCCTAAAACGTACAGGAAGTTGTTGAACACCACCACCTGCATGTGACTAAGAGCACTTGGTAATGATGCAATTTCTGTTCTGTTCAGTAAACTATTAGAGGTGATTTTGGAATCAAAGACCAGTATTTCATCATGTAGACATGGATTGGGGTGGATCTCCCGTCCCCCAATACTAGCAAGACGTTCTACAAAGGAGCGCAGGTGTACGCTATAGCTTGCTTCCAGGGGCTGTGAGTGGGGCACCACATGGTAGTTGAGAGCAGCTAGTACCATCTGCCTAAGTTCTGTATGACTCATCATCATGTCTACTCGCTGGACGTGCTGCACTAGATCAGCTGGATTGATTAGGGGGAAACGAATCAGCTTCATCAGCTGTATAGCCTGATCGTCCTGGTTACTATTCAGCAGGAACCACTCCCAGGTGATGTGGAAAATGTCTATCTCACGCAGACACAGACGGTCACTATTCAGACAGTTGATCATCTGATCGTAGGTGAGAAGGTGCAGTGTTCCCTCCTTTGAGATCTGCATGAGATTCCTTGCTATGAACACGTCTATCTGCTTCAAAGCATTATTCATACTATAGAGTTTGGCTGTGTTGATAAAATCATAGAAATTACTAGTGGTCATACCACTAAGGAAGTTCCTCTCACAGAATTCAATCACTGGTGTCACCTGTAAATGTGTAGCTGCAGCAATCACATCAAAGATGTCGTCACCCTCCAAGGTGGTTGTGGAGGTATAAATGACCTCAAGAGTTTTGTCAAGGCCTTTACTTGTAATGCCCTTTAGTTCAATCTCCCTTTGTGTGCTTTCCCGCATCCCACTCGTGAACATTGACCGAAAATAGTCTGAGCAGGATACCAAAATGACACGATGAGCATCAAATCTGTGACCTGAAAAATGATAAACATTATACAATAGATTACCTTATATAAACCTGTATCTTATTTCAAAAACATTACTGACCAAATCACCCATGTTTTATAACACCAAGAAAACTGGTGTCAATGTAGTTTCCCTTCATAAACAAAACCCTTTATTTGAATCATTTATAGTCATGTTATGTTCAAATTTTGTCCATCACTATACTGAAGTCAATTTGAAGCCTTTGTATATACCATTGCACCATAGTTGAAGCAGATGACATACAATTGGTTTGCACATTCTTCTTAATGTTATCTCTCAAATTTATGAAAGTGGTTTATTTGGAATAGGCTAGGGATCAGTCTCACTATCCTCTAGTATACCAACACATCAACGCTAGCTGAGCACAGATAATGGTAACAATCTGTGATAATTCTAAGGAACAATATTTACAAAATGAATGAGCTTACCAAAAGGCATGGGAAAATTATAGTTGAATAAATACATTAATCTCAAGAAATGATGTTTCCTTCTGAAATAACAAAACTGTAACGGCAAGTATTTATAGAAATCTGACACAAAAATCTACAGTAACAAAACTACCTTCTGCGATGAGTGTGACATCACACAGAATCTTGTCATTTTTGAGCTTGTGAAGACCCTGAAGAATCTTCATCCCATGCTCTGGTCGCTCTTCCATGCGACACGCCTCATTGCTGCTACTACTCTGCAGCTCCTGGAACTCTTCTGCACCAGCCATCTCGGAAGTCTACAGAGTTTCTTGTCTTGATTGACGCCTGGTCACTTTCCAGCTGTACATCACCATGTCACATACACTTCCTCAACCTACAGGTCAAACAGTCATTAAAACAAAATTACCTTCATCATTTAATCATTTCATTAGGACTTACGTGTATCAATATACATATGCATAAATTACCAAAAAATACCAAAATAATCAATATATCACTATATTGGTCTAGTGACAATATACAGTACTGCAATATATTGCAGCATCTCTACACCTGTTTTGGTAATTTAGCCACATGATTTTGATAATTTTGTAGAGCAATTTGATTGAAGTCCATTATAGGTTCTTTAACCTGTGTGGTGTTACACAAATTCAAAATCATGTATCTTTGTGTACATCATTGCATTACATTAAGCTAGTGCTCTCTTATATACATGTTTGATCCACAAGATATACAGGGCTCTCACATCCCATTTTGGGACCGGGGCCTGGGGCCCTTAGAATTGGGGAAAATAATGGTGTTTTCCTTAGAATTGGGAAAACTTGGGGTCTAAATTGGGAAAAAAAGATACTATTTGCATTGGGAATGGGGCCGAATATCGACCCCAAATCTGGCAGATCAAGAGCCCTGATATACATGTTTGATCCACAAGATATACAGGGCTCTCACACCCCATTTTGGGACTGGGGCCCGGGGCCCTTAGAATTGGGAAAAATAATTGTGTTTTCCTTAGAATTGGGAAAACTTGGGGTCTAAATTGGGAAAAAAAGATACTATTTTGCATTGGGAATGGAACCGAATATCGGCCCCAAATCTGGCAGATCGAGAGCCCTGATATATCACAATATCCCTCTGAATATAGCAATATATTGCGATACAAAAAACTGTTTGCTTTATCAAGCCTTAACTGAAAATCTTACATCTATAGTATTTGTATACAAATGTGATTCATCAGTAAGAACATGAATGTGTTATTAGTACATTTATCCATAACGGAAACTGTGTTGAGATACAATCAATTGACAGTAATTTGGTCTTCGTTAACTATTTTACAAGTATTGTTAATATCTGGAACAGGAAAGAGCAATAACTCTACATATGTAGGAGCAAGTGACATAATTTCACTGACTGTAAACACTACTGCCATCTGTAGATGTACTAATAAACCTTATACAAAACATGGCAGGTGTACGTTACATATTTGGTGAAAGCAACAAGGACTGATGTATGGAAAGAGATCAATAAGTTTACCTTAAAAGGTGCACTTGTGGTTAACATACAACCTATATGATTCATAGTGATCAGGTGGACTTAATATAGAACAATTTTACAGCATATACTAGTACTTCTACTGAAATTGTAATAGATTTAAGAGGACTTTTTCCAAGTGTGGCTATATCAGAAAGTTATGGCAAGTTAATATGAGGAGAGGAGGAGACCTTCAAGGAGGGAGAATATACTGTATAGAAGTGACCTGGACTTTTGAATGATTGTTGTTGACCAGTTATCAAGTAGCAAAGTTGTTGACTTGTTAAGGATTCCAGTTTGTGGATCTTAGTGTTAAATTATATTTCTCTGAATTTGAATTTAACTGTTACATGATAATATGTGACAGAAGAAAGTAAATATGAATCAAACCTAGGACTGCCACATTGAATTACCTGTACCAGTTTTACCAGTTTTTATCAATTCCATTCCAACAACTTTCCACTTCACACTGAAACTTTGTACTATGTACATAGTGTATGAGATGGTTAGGAATCTACTAAATTTTTGGGCTGGACTGCATAATCCTATGCTCATTAAGGTAGAAAATAGTGCGAGATGGTCAAAATTTAAAGAGAAAAAGTACACAAGTTGGTATAATGTACTGTAGTCAATTTGGCTACACTTTGTTTAACACTTGGTCATAGAAGTGCGGGACTCTGCTCATGTAGGTGACAGTGTATAGTCATTGAAACATCACATCTTAATATTCTACTGGCTTTGTTATAAAAACTTTTACTCCAACGACATTACAAAACTAAACAAAATGTTCTGAAACTTGTCCTTATATATTCTTTGTCATCTAATCAGGAACTACTTCAACCATTATAACTCAAATACCCAGAAACTTGCATTCCTCACACTGATATATATCACAGTTCCTTCATGAATTCCTGAATTATTCCCACATCCATTCAACAGACAGTTGTCACACCTGACCAATTTTAATGGTAGTATCACTACACAAATGCTATATTGTCTGCTTCTTTCAGTGAAGAAACTGCATTAAATTAATTATAATAAATAATGTTTTCTTTGTATGATTTGGTAACCTATAGGAGAGGAAATGAAACAGCAGGCATGAAAGAGAGAGTAGGTAGAAACTACCTTTTAGATAGTCAGATTATCTGCTAGATAGCTTCTGTTGATGGAGAAATTAAACATGCCTTTGACTGACGACAGATTGTTTACATTGTTATCTGGGCTAAATAAGAAATTCTGGAATTCCAAAATTTATTGAACCAAACTTCCTGTTAGATAGTCATTTAAAAATTGCAAAATTTGTGCAGTGGCAGACGAAATATGTCAAAAAGTTTATCTTCATAACAATATCGCCCCATTAAAATCTGTTCAACCATTCTTCTGTGTTGGATTTATTAAACGTAGATTGAATTCGATAAATAGGGATCCATAAAATTTAGTTGTTGTGATAAAACATAAAAGTGTGGTAGGTGTGTATAAATTATGTACCGTTGCTATTCGTCAACTACATCACGTACAAACTACAGTCAACATAAAATTGCGATCTAAAGATAGAGCTACATCCTGTGAATCATCACTATATTAATTCTTGACGTACCACTGCATCGAGACCGATTTTTGTTTTGGTAAATGCATAAGAGTTATGGCAAACAATATGGTTGGTTTCTACGCATTTAAAAGTCGGTTGGTCCCGTTAACTTACATTGAGGAAGATGTGAGTCGCTAGAAGACACTCCTAACTGTTCATCTCACAGGAGTTCATGATACAGCGTCAAAGTGTTCCTCAAATACTCACGATACCATGATGACCGATGCGAGTACCTGCGGAAATGACATCTTGTGTTATTAGGTGGACGCATGCGCACCAACCATATAAACATTAACTTCCTGTTTCGATTTTGCGTCGCAATACAAGTTGTTTCCCTTTGTTTTTCCACGTACACCTTGGCCCACGTTTTCTGTAGCTAAACATGGTGTGAAAAAAGCAATGAAACACAAATATAAAATCTGAAAAAAAATCCCATGAAAAAATGTTGTTGAGTTACATAAAAAGACAAGGAAAAAAAAAATCTTGCGCACTTTGCATTTAGGTTCACACCAAATTAAGGCCTAATAAACCAGATAACTTATGAAGGTCTCGGTTTGACTTTGCTTTATATGAGACTCACAAAAAAAAATATATATAATACATGATTTGGTAACCGCTGATTGCATCTGGAAATAAACTTACACGTTTCATAACTAAAAAGTCACATTCAAAACGTAGTGGTATTCGTCACCATTTGATAATTTATCACATGGTGGAAAGATACATTCTTCCCTGGGAAAGTTTTCCCCATTTTTTTCATTTTCAATAGGAAATCGATTGTTGCCTGTAAAATACTTCATGAAGATGCTTTTCAGACGTTTTGGCAAAAAATAAAAGGTAGTTTTCTTTATTTGATTATCAATCATCAGTCAAAGGCAGAAACTAATTATACGACTTAAACTGTAAACCATTAAACTCTGCGTGACGTTTTACAGTAACAGAACAATTTTCAAAACCACAGATCTTACAGCCGTATAAAAATATCGATACAACTGTTTGATCAATTTTTTGGTATGGCAATTGATTCGCAACTTGAGATTTGCGAATACTTGATTTTATAAAGAGCATTGCTGTAGTATCTTGACCTTAAATACGTTCCCAAGATAATAAATTATAATAAGGAATTATTTTCAGAAAAAAAGTCAAATTAAGGTATTTATAGCAATCAGACATCTCAAGAGCGTTATCAAATAAATAGATTTTAGGTCATCTACGACACCTTGAGCCAAAAACAGTCTTTGTTGTATATACTTACAATTTCTGCGTTTCTGTGTCATTTTCCGATAAAAAGGAAAAGAAAAAGAAAAAGCTATCATCTGCATATACTAGAACCTAATTTTTTTACTTATCGGAATGACAGTAAAAACGTTTGGATTCATTACCGATATGCTCCACATATGACCTAAAATTTTGATACATTTGCGAAATAATGTGAAAGCATTTTCCTGATCAATACACCTATAAGATAAGTCGGAACCCAGTTCGCCCAACAAAGCTTTAGTTAGGTATATAAAACTACAAAAACGCGTTTTCTGACATGTAGACTATCGACCAGGGGTGAATAGCTTACACTACAGCTAAGTATTGTAATGGGTCGATAATTTTTACGTAGACTTGGATCTCCTCTATTTTTGGTATGACCAAGAATGAGGTAAATACCTGAATATAAACTTTGTTTTTAAAAAAAACACATATAGGTAGCAGAACATCACTAGTTGAGTTCATATATTCGTTAAAAAATTTCATATTGAACAGATAATTTTTGTCATTCTAAAGAGATTTGGCAGTAAAACATGAACAGGGCAACCTGATGAGACGGAGGAGGAGGTAGTCCAGGACTCAAACCGCAGCGACTACAGCGTCCATGAGCCAGTCAATGAAGAGGACACACCCAGTGAGGTCTTAGAGGAAGATCATGGCCAACAAGCACCAGTCATAGATCAACCTAGACAGGGACCTGATCATAGCGGCAGGAAAGGAACGATCAAGTGGCCACCAAGTAACGGCTAGCAAGGCAGAATGGAAGACGTTTGACGAAGACGTGGATGCCATTCTGGCTGCATCATCAGCAGGAGGGGTAGACAGGAAGATAGAGGGAATGTCAGCTATCATATACAACGTAGTATGTAGAGAGGTATTCAAGATTGGAGAGGACATTATTCCAACAGTCTCCGAGAAGCCAGTCAAATGCCTGGGAAAGTATTTTGATGATACTTTGAACGACACCAAGAATGCCAATGATACATTGGAACAGCTTGAGAAGTGGCTAGTATCAGTAGACAGATGTGGTCTGCCAGGAAAATACAAGGCCTGGATCTGTCAGCATGGAATTCTACCTCGTGTACTATGGCCTTTATTGGTGTACGACGTACCATTGACAAAAGTGGAAGCGATGGAGCGCAAAGTAAGCAGTTGTCTCAGGAGATAGCTATCGGACCCTCGAAGCTTCAGCAGTGTGGGGTTATATAGCTCAGGAACAAAGCTCCAGCTGCCGCTGACGTCAATAGCAGAGGAATTTAAGGTCACCAAGGTTAGACAATTCCTCATGCTTAGAGACAGCAAAGATGAGAAGGTACGAGCAGTGAAGGTCAATAACAGAGCAGGGAAGAAGTAGTCGGCATCACAGGCAGTGAAAAATGCAGAGTCGCGTCTTAGACACGCAGACATTGTTGGCAATGTAGCTGTGGGAACAACAGGGTTAGGAGCAACACCAACAGCTAGATGGGGACCAGCCTCAACTGTAGACCGAAGACACATGGTCCAGAGGGAAGTACGAGCCAATGTATTCAATGTAGGGATGGTGGACTGCTATGAAAACAGTCCTACCTACTCTGTTTTATCTCCCCGTGATCAGTCAGGGCCATATTAAAGGGAGTCTCATGCTGGTGATTACCCCAATGAACAGCATGCAGGAGGCCCATCAAATATTGTCTGAAGCAGCTAGGGTAAAATATGGTGAAATATGGGATGAATCTCGACAATAAAGTGCGGCCCGTGGTTTCAAGCATCTTGTTAAGAACCGTGAAACCACTCCGGATAGGTCGATACAACCTTCGTTATACAGATACATAGAGCATCAGTTAGAACAAGACAACTGCTAAATCTGATCCTGAATCGTATCCAAATTTAGATAGGACCATCAGTACGTTTGAGTTTAGTACATAAAGAGCGCTGGCCTTGTTACTGTCTTTCAGGAAATGTTCATCATCAACGAAAGTGTATGTACAGCACTTTGTGCCCGATCCACTTCATTCATTTAAGCACCTCTCTTGTTTTATTACTGCTGACCCCAAACACAATATATTATTGTCACAACTCTAGACCCATTCTGTCAAATTACTGAAGCAGCCTGGGTGTTAATTTAAACACACAAATTATTAGCTAATACAAAATCGCGATGACCCTTTTTAAACGTATCCATGATTTTTTTTGTTTTGTTGGCATATCGTTTCTTAGTCGTAGTTGATTTAAGGCTTAATATAACAGTGACGTCACGTAACGACAAAATGGCAACTGTTTGTTGTTTATATCAGAGCACTTTCCCTTTAAAACATGGTGTAGTAAAATGTGATATCTGAATTTGAAGATATTGGATCTGAACGATGGTATGATTCTATATCAAGATTTTGTTTAAGAAAAAAGCTATCCTTTTACATTAACAAATTGATTAAAGTAACAAAAAATAGGCTAATTATCTTGATATTTTATCAAACGATATCGTCACTACCTCATGACTTTCATGTCTGTTGGTGTGTCGTAGACCGTGTTGACACGAGAAAGTATAAGCTTACATACAAGGAAATATATGTTATTAATCAGTCTTGAAATCCATTTTTACGTTTTATGAAGGGAGGTAATTCGTGAGATCCTCTTGCATTAACATTGTCGCATTCAGGTTAATTTGTATGATTTGGACAGGCAATTCAAAAGACCATGATCTATCAATGGTATCTACATCTGTATGTTTGGACATTGAAGCGTGAGGTTTTAAAAATTCTGATAATTTCATATGCGATATAAAATGATTCGGAGCCTGTTATGGTTGTTCCGACTTCCGCTTGTTGTAAATATTGGTACTATTTTTAGGGCATAATCATTTAAAATGTAAATCACTATTTGAACTCAAAGATGAAGTTATTTCATTAGTTCAAAACTGGATAGTGTAAAATGGTGATAATTTCACCTTAATTAATCTACATACTGCACCGAAATCCATTTGTTTCATAGGGACATATGAGGTCTGAAAACAGTTTTTTTTATATCTGTGAAAGTGTTCATTTCAAGAAGCATCCTTTGTTTTAAGAAATAATGGTGTTCACCTTTATATTATAATTTTGCTTGTTAATTTTGTAAAATGATATTCCTGTCATAAAAATCATCAAGCGATAAGCTTTGAGATACAAAATGATTAAAATCCTAGGGTGAACCGGAACGACACTCCCGGTAGAAGTGCTGCACAGAGCGAATAAACGTTCAATACGGAGACAAATTGTGTGATGCGTTTCAGTTTTCATTGACTGCATTCACGGACAATCGATAGCTTTCTACTAATAGCAAAGTTTCTTTGGGATTCGATTTTATAGGTGGTATATAGAAAGTTAACACGTGTCTCCACATAGACTGTTCTGACGATCAAACAGTCTTTCTATATCGGTCTGGGGGTGACTCAGTCTGAAGGTGACTCGGTCTGGAGATGACTCGGTCTGGAAGTGACTCGGTCTGGAATGGACTCCACACCAATGTAAGACTGTCAAAAGATCATAAGAATGATTAGGGCAAGTCTAAAGAAGACATAGATGGCCTTTTGAATATTCAACCCATGGAGTTGATGAATTTTCTAAATATTCTTTAACATCTGTTTTCGGTTCCGTTTTTCCATCAGTCCCTGCATGGTTATATTCTTATGTAACCCCTCATTTCAAGTAACCTTTCGAAGCATGACGTCACACTTTCCGCCTTTTCCGCCATTTCGTATTATATGGGAAATATTTGTAACACCCCTGGTGATTGGGTACGTTTTATACATCATATCAAGTACATTTCTCGTGCATTGTACATACTGCCAAAACCCCTGTATCAGTATCTTTTCTTTAACTCTCAGAGAAAAAATGTCCTGAGTCCGATTCTTGTTTGGTTGGAATTACTTCTCTTCCAGTTAAATAACAATGCCGTGACAGGATGATTGAACTTGTGTTGGTGCAAAGATAAACCAATCTTCTAGTACAACTACAAATGTGGGCAGAAAAAGGAACATTTTAAGAATAGAGAGCTTAAATTAAACTTTAAAATGAAACCGGTATTTCCTTATCATGAAGCAATAAAGTGTGTTCAGTTGAATTCGTGTGATAATAAGATAATTTTCTGCAGATACTATTGTATTTCCTGCCCACAGATAGAGATAGGCTTGCGTGATAACAATAGAAATCCTATATACAAATTATTCCGTCTTTCAAAGACAAACTACTGTTTAATCATTCGTCGGTAATGCAATGGTTCTTCCTACTTCATATCATATTCCTTATCATCACAATGGCCTAGGTTTTATTACTAGCTCTGCTAATAATCCCACCAAAACTTTACTTGTAACGCAATCAGCAAGGTCAAATTGGCTGTTCCACTAATCTGTTTACCAAGCGTGATGCTTTCAATTCCCTGCCTCCCTTGCCAATATTACCATAGATATCGACAGCTGACGAGAAAGGGTTTCAACAGATGGCAGTTGGTGAAGGCTTTGCATAAGTGTGATGGCCGTCGCCATGACACCATACAAACATATTCAATTTCCTTTGGTGACGTGATGTGTACGATACGCGTACGTTTACCTTGTGATTTCTCCAAGTTCTCATTTTGAGAGCGTGGCACGACAGGGTTTGACCTAAATTTGTAGATGGCATTACTTCCGGTTCGTTCGGTAACGTGGCGATGTCTGAAGTAAAACACCCTTCTAAAGAAAACTTTAATATTTTGTTTACTTATTAAGCGAAGCAATACATTATTTTCCTAAATTGTTACTATGTAACACGAAATAAAAACGGCTGTGATTTGGTGCAATTCTTTGGTATGCGAAACGCATATATGTATATATATCTATTATCAACAAGAGCGTTGAATTTAAAAGTTCATATTTTAATGAGCAATCTTAGTCACCAATCGTGCTAATAAACATCTATGAAAGGACTTGTGTTTTGCCGCGCAACACTATTTCAAGGGAAACCCCCCAGTCACCCCCACCCCACCCCCCTACTCCACACAATTTTTTTTCATAACTTTATATAGAATTGACGCATTACAATCATGAGAATGTGAAACGATCGTTGCTCCAATTGCTTATAAATCTAAAAAGTTTCCGTGTAATAAAATTGCTAAACACTTTGAATTCTTGAATACAAATGTCGTGCGAAATAAACAAATAAATACATGTACATTTGTATATGGTATTTCGCATAGATAGGACCACCGTTAACTGCTCTCTAAACACGCCCCAGACAGTGTTAGTGTTTTGACACGAAGCTGTGAATTAAGAGCCCGACATAGACAAATGCTAATGAATACTAATACTTTTTTATCTGGTGTGAAAAATGCGGACTTATCGTCTCTGTCCCGTGAGAGTCTTTTGACAAGTTTTAGACACGATATTGACTTTATTTAATTACATGTATACAACCACACGGACGATAAACGCTTGTCTCTTGTACACAGCGTGATAGTACATAGTAATCAGCAGTGGTTCCGATTCAACAGTCACAATAGCACATTTAATTCATTTATACGTCGAATTCAAACTTGAATTATCTACGAAACAGAATACATGAAAGCTGGGTCAAAGTTATGCTGGCTAAAGTACTATGGTGTAGACTCGACAGAATCATGATGATACACATTAACACGCTTGTAGACAGAATAATATCATAGAATTACAAGTGATACAGTCATTTCATTATTCTGTAAGTTTTTTTTCTTCCCTGATTATTATATGCCGAGTTGGAAACAGAGGAGACCTCTTTTCAATACCATACGTCATATAAAAAGTGTTAAACTACTTTTGGCATGTTTTCTTTCTATTGGGGATGAAAAAATCGGGTGAAATTATTTTGTAACCAGCTAGTATCAAACTGACCTGATTTCGATCATCGTCTCTCAGAACGCGAAAATATGTGTGTTAGTAAGGGGCATGGAGTGGTTCGTCAAGGAAATTTGTGTGTTAGTAAGGGCATGGAGTGGTTCGTCAAGGAAATTTGTGTGTTAGTTAGGGGCATGGAGTGATTCGTCAAAGACATGTGTGTGTGTGTTAGGAACATTGAGTGGTTTGTCAAGGATATATGTGTGTTAGTCAGAAACATGGAGTGGTTTGTCAAGGACATACGTGTGTTAGTTAGGAACACGGAGTGGTTTGTCAAGGACATATGTGTGTTAGTTAGGAACACGGAGTGGTTTGTCAAGGACATATGTGTGTTAGTTAGGAACACGGAGTGGTTTGTCAAGGACATGTGTGCGTTAGTTAGGAACATGGAGTGGTTTGTCAAGGACATGTGTGCGTTAGTTAGGAACATGGAATGGTTTGTCAAGGACATGTTTGCGTTAGTTAGGAACATGGAGTGGTTTGTCAAGGACATGTGTGCGTTAGTTAGGAACACGGAGTGGTTTGTCAAGGACATGTTTGTGTTAGTTAGGAACATGGAGTGGTTTGTTAAGGACATGTTTGTGTTAGTTAGGAACATGGAGTGGTTTGTTAAGGACACGTGTGTGTTAGTTAGGAACATGGAGTGGTTTGTTAAGGACGTATGTGTGTTAGTTAGGAACACGGAGTGGTTTGTCAAGGACATATGTGTGTTAGTTAGGAACATGGAGTGGTTTGTTAAGGAAATTTGTGTGTTAGTTAGGAACATGGAGTGGTTTGTTAAGGAAATTTGTGTGTTAGTTAGGAGTTACACAAACCTTTTTTCACATTACGTTGGTAATATTATATTTTGTTCATGTTACTTTGTGTAAGATCATTTTTGATTTGTAGGGATCGACCATGGCAAAACTCGAACCTTAAGCGCAGCATTAATGTACATAAATGGTTTAACTACTAAATATGTCCTGGATAATATTAGTGTTTGACATGAAGCTGTGAATTTGGAACCTGAAATAGACAAATGCTAGTAAATTGTAGCATTCCACCTTTTCATCTTGTGTGAAGAATGTCACATCGTCTTTTCCCCGTGTGTGTCTTTTGACACGCTTCAGACATGATATTGACATTATATAAGTACATGTATACAACCACACCGATAGTAATACACCGCGTGACGGTACATAGTAATTAACTGTGGTTCCGCTTCAAATGTTCCCACAGAGCTTTTAACAATTTGTGTATTAGTATTTTTCATCTTACTAAGGAAAGACATTTCTTGATTGAGAAGAGATTGATCTAGGCCAAACTCTAACTTTAGCGTAACACAAACAACTCTACTTCTTAAAGTGACGTCACATCTATTGCAAACATATATTATCGCAGTTATACACCTTAGTAATACTGTCACCTGTCGAAAACGGATTTCACGTTAAAGACATTTACATATTCGAATAACTCGAAAAGAATATAAACTGGAACAGTCAAATGTATTGGATATTTATCATACATGGAAGAAAACATGGTCGACTGCAAATTGCAAGACCACCGGAAGTACCACAGCGCTATGACGTGCCCTTCTCCCGAGGAATCACGCCGTGTGTGTCTCTAGATACAATTTCTACAACGGGTTTTGGTTTGTCCACACCAGTCTTACCTCCCGACGAGTTCGGTCGAGAGGACGGTGTTGTGGCTCGGAGAGCTTCATTCTGCTCGCGTTGTTTGATTCGTCGAAACTCCATCACAGAATGATTACTTTGACGAAGACATGAATTTCGCTGTAATCGCCTTTTGATTTCGTCTTCGTTCTGTTCACAGAAACTTCCAACTTTATGGTCAAGAGACTCAAAATTATTAATCTCTTTACTTTTTCTCCACTCAACCATTTGACTGTAAAACGATTCTCGATCCTGAAGCTCATCATCGTCAAAATATCTTACTTGCTCATCGCGTCTTCCGAGACTACCAAGTCGAGCTAGCTTCCGAAGAGCGGCTTTGTCGCCATTAAACACTCGCGCCGTGCTTGGCCGGAGGTCGATTTTTGAGCGATGCTGGTCCGTGAAAAATGAGGGATCTACCTCAAACTCCTCCTCCTGAGAAACAGATTGTCTCCCGCCACGATTACCAGATGGTTTGGATGTCAACACCGCCGGACTAGTTTTTGGGCGCATTGCACTCCTGGTGAACGCCCTGTGCTGAGTATTGTTTGCCATGAAGTCCTCGATGGTTTGATCTTTTGGCTCTGTAGTGGTTTTCGTTTTCGATATATCCCTCTGTCTATCCCTATATTTTCTTAGCCGCTTTTTCATTTCGTTTTGAGATTTTCGTAAATCTAATGCCACACTTCTCTTGGCGACGTCAATGTTGATGACCTTCAGTTCCAGTATCCTCTCCTCTACCTTGAGAGCGCGCACGGCTGACTTGTCAAGGTCAGGATACATGAACATGGCACGGCTAGCCATCTCCCGAGGCTTGACGTCACTGATGCTTAAACGTCTGAAAAATATCAAAAACAACATTTAGAGAGTAGCAGCTTTTCACAATGAACATACAATTGTGGTTTTGGGGAACAGAAATTAACAAGTGAATCACAGGTGTGCTGAATAGATACCACAAACGCCGCAATGACGCGTTTTTGATACATACAGGTGCCGTCTGTATGGTGATGTGTCCTTAGTATTGTAACATACATGTGTCCACTGTATGATGTGTCCTTAGTATTGTAACATACAGATGTCGTCTGTATGGTGACGTGTCCTTAGTATTGTAACATACAGGTGTCGTCTGTATGGTGATGTCTCCTTAGTATTGTAACATACAGGTGTCGTCTGTATGGTGATGTCTCCTTAGTATTGTAACATAAAGGTGTCGTCTGTATGGTGATGTGTCCTTAGTATTGTAACATAAAGGTGTCGTCTGTATGGTGATGTGTCCTTAGTATTGTAACATAAAGGTGTCCACTGTATGATGATGTGTCCTTAGTATTGTAACATACAGGTGTCCACTGTATGGTGACGTATTCTTAGTACTGAATCATTAAACTGTTATGGTGCCGACTCTATTACGATATGTCCGATGTGCTGTAACAAACAGGTGTCAACTGTATGGCGACTTTTTTGAAATGTTGACACTCTTTAGTGTCATCCACTCAGATGTCAATCACGAATGCTCCCTTAAGATATCGCGAAGAACAAGTTAAACATACAAATCTATTTACATATCTGAGCAAAGTAACTAGATAAAGAAAAAAAAACTAATAGAACGTAAATAGTCCTTAAATGTTTTTGTGTAAAAGGACGCCCCGACGACTAAATACTGGCAAATACAACGGTAAATCCAGAAAAGTGAAATGTACACTGTCTGCACTCTATCACGTAGAAGTCATCGGACATATTTGTACGTCAACATGAAGTTATGAAAGTCTGTAGACACAGTAAACACTTTGATCGATGAAGGTAACTTAGAAAGGTTACACGAGGGCCCAACAACTGACTCTACCTGTCAGTCAAACAAGAGCCTACAAGAGAACATAATCCACCATGACTTATACTATCTGTATAGAGAAATCCCCGGCTAAAATTCTGACAGACCGCATCCTTTAAATCCTGACCGACCGCACCCTTTACATCCTGGCCGACCGCACCCTTTACATCCTGGCCGACCGCACCATTTACATACCGACAGACTGCACCCTTTACATCCTGACAGGCCGCACCATTTACATACCGACAGACCGTATTTCACAACATATTCCACAATATATTTCACAACATACCCCGCATTGTATGTCTCAACATATCCCGTCAATGTATGGCACAACATACCCCACTATGTATGTCACAACATACCCCACAATGTATGTCACAACATACCCAACAATGTATGTCACAACATACCCAGCATTGTATGTCTCAACATATCCCGTCAATGTATGGCACAACATACCCCACAATGTATGTCACAACATACCCCACATTGTATGTCTCAACATACCCCGCATTGTATGTCTCAACATACCCCACAGTGTATGTCACAACATACCCCACATTGTATGTCTCAACATACCCACAACGTATGTCACAACATACCCCACAACGTATGTTACAACATACCCCGCATTGTATGTCTCAACATATACCCACAATGTCTGTCAAAACATACTCTACAATGTATACCGGGGCAAATTGTGTTAGTATAACCAATGTTATACACTAACTATCATTAAATGCAAGCAAATTTATGCCGCTGGTACGAAAATTCCATAAAGGGCCATAACTCTGTAAAGATGTGATTGAAGGCCCTGACTTTGGTATACTCTACATCGTCGTGATGTGAAAAATGTGTACTTGAAGTTTCATTATCAGAAGGCTAAGTTATGATCCGTATACGAAGTTTTACCCAAGGGCTATAACTCTGTTAATAATGGGTCTTGATCATTTAATCTATCGCATAACTGATATACAAACACAGTTTCCCGATCCCATATCAAGTATGGGTAAAGTTATAATCTTGAAACAAAATGGACGGACGGCACGTTTAGAGAGCTTGAAAAATGCAACCAGGCTGTGGGGTATGTTATCACTAAGTCAAGGATGTTAAATAAGTACCCAACAAAGCACATTCAAGTTAAACAAAGTATATTGTTCCGAAACCAATACAAAGTACATTTCCAAACATGATATTTACGTCATTTTAATGGGAATTTCCTGTTACAAGGCCATTACTCTGACAGTCTTTAAATAAAGTCATTACAACTGTCACATTGGATTTTTTTCAACGTGATTTGTTGGGTTTGACTTCACCTGTGTGTACTTGACTACAAAATAACGATAACTGCATATCAGAGCGGGTTATCTTATTGTGTTGATGGCCCTATGTTTGATCTCTTCAGTGAGAGCTGTCATCATGAAAAAAAATACAAATTTCTATAACGTGAATAATGTTTACTGTCTAAATGTCGAACTCAAAGTTTCCACCCAAATAAACAACTTTACACGCATCAAGTCTTCTTTTTAATCGACTTCAAATATATTAATTTATTATCATGACCTTTAATTGAATTTAATTATCCCAAATTAAGTAAGTAAGGATGTATTTATTTTGGGATTTGAATCACTGGAGTGTAAACTCCATTCAAAACACGGCCTATTTAGACAGGAATCCCGTGCGTATTGACATTATTTACATATAATTGTGTGTAGTGACGAGGTTTAGTGGACCAATGTTTACAGAATAGAGTGACAGGCAGGAATACCCAATCACTTTCAGCTAACAATTGATAGACTGGACCATTCGAGTCAACAGACGTCCAGGGAAGTTGTGGGGATTTTTGATTACATGAACAACCTCTTACTGCTCTGTAGTGTTGACTATAACAATGCTTTGGTTTTTAAATACAATATATGTGACTACTGAATATTTTGGTGATATTTACATTCAATATAAAGGAGAAATGTTTTCCCAGTAAACTATGCTGAAATAAATCAGATACCGTTTTCCCAAACAAAAATTCGTTATCATATTGAGATGCAGACGATTTTTTCCTAACTAACTGAAGAAACAATGATCCGAAAGAGTGCCCTGTTATTTTTCTACTTAGCAACAATGTGTTGCGTCCCGTTGTGTACAATACAGGATATCATGAGAAATAAAATGTTTCTAAATAAATATGATGAAGTTTTAAGACATCGAATCACAAAACAGCAAAACACAAAAACATCACAATTGTGAAGGAGCCATTGACTTCATATACCAAACGCCAGACATTTTATATGATACAAGCTGTTTGCATATATTCCAATTACATATGTAAACTTACTGATATTCGTGTAAAACGAAATAATATGATAAAGACCTACATTGTTTTTTTACAAATAAGAAAAAATAAAGAGACAATGATATTGCACATACATCTATCATATCGAGCACCACGGAAACCACAAACGGCAAATCAGAAGAGTTTTTTTTTCTGCACGAAGTGAAACAGTAAGCTAGGTATTCAGTCTTAAACGAAATCCGTGGATTTTTATTATCAGCGGAATTTCAGAATGCCTATTGAACTAAGTTATATGTTCACAGCCCTTACTAAAAGTCGGGGACAAGACATGACTGAAGGGTATGATGAAAATATCGTCAGATTAAAGGTAAAACTTCAAGGAAAACCACAAAATAAGTGTATGCAGGCAAACCACACTAGACATTATTAGTGTCTGGTCCAAACCGTAACCGGAAAAAATCGATGTAAAATCAAAATAAGAAAGTTAAACAAAGACGAACAATCTGGACACTAGTAATTAATGAAAATTGAACGAATGGCGTAATGGTATGATAGACGTGTTAAATCACAGTAAGAGATCCGTGATCTCGAAAATATTCATTGGAAATACAATATATATATATACTTCTCATGCATTGAAAATACTTAAGTTTACATCCTAATCACGACTCGTGACACAAAATGTCTTCTATAGACGGAGAATATTCAAATACCATACATTACAGCCAATGGCCTTGGTATTAGATGTCTTATTTATTCATATAGATGATAATTGTATAGGATTTCATTTAAATATTTATATTTCACTGAGTACAGCTTTAAACGAACTTATTTCAGATCGGTTGAGTATGATATATTTTCTATGTAAACACTACCTGACTACTTCAATAAAGTCGTATCTCATTACCACACATATTGTACTGTCTAAATATTGGCGTTTTCAGACAGTATACAGCGAAAGGAAAAAGGTCACACGAGAGAATCAGATAGTTCACTAATGACGCAGCGAAATTATTACGTTTCTAGGCTGTCATTTGGATATCGTGATAGTCGGTGTGTGTACAGTTTTAACACGTTAGGTGTCTGTACAGTTTTAACACATTATGTGTGTGTACAGTTTTAACATGTTAGGTGTCTGTACGGTTTTAACACAGTATGTGTCTGTACAGTTTTAACACGTTATGTGTGTACAGTTTTAACACGTTATGTGTGTGTACAGTTTTAACACGTTAGGTGTGTACAGTTTTAACACGTTAGGTGTGTACAGTTTTAACACGTTGATGTGTGTACTGTTTTAACACGATATGTGTCAGTGCAGTTTTAACACGTTAGGTGTGTACAGTTTTAACACGTCAGGTGTGTGTACAGTTTTAACTCATTATGTGTGTGTACAGTTTTAACACGTTATGTGTGGGTACAGTTTTAACACGTTAGGTGTGTGTACAGTTTTAACACGTTATGTGTGTGTACAGTTTTAACACGTGAGGTGTGTGTACAGTGTTAAAACGTTAGGTGTGTACAGTTTTAACACATTATGTGTCTGTACAGTTTTAACACGTTATGTGTCTGTATAGTTTTAACACGTTATGTGTCTGTACAGTTTTAACACGTGAGGTGTGTGTACAGTGTTAAAACGTTAGGTGTGTACAGTTTTAACACATTATGTGTCAGTACAGTTTTAACACGTTATGTGTCTGTACAGTTTTAACACGTCAAGTGT